CGTTGTTGTAGCTTCAGCAATTGTCTTATCTGCTTCTATGTCATCATTGACAGTACCACTTGGACCAGCTAAATCCTCATCTCTCTGACCATCATGTCGTTTAACTGGTATAGTTGCTGATCCCAATCCAATCTCCTCATGCTTCCTTTTTGTTCTTTGGTTATCTCCAGTCATATTAATATCTTCATTAGTCCCTGCAGCCTTCTGATTCCGCTCCTCCCCAAGAAGATAAACTGATAACGGTGTTAACATGGGAGGAAGTTCCTGAATTACCCCAGAGCTGTCTCCAATCTCTTGACCAGTATTGATTCCAGCTATAGCAGCTAAGCGCTCTTGTGTTGTAACATAAGGATTATTTCCTATCTCCATCAACGCTTCAGCAGTAGAGGTTAAAGACGAAGCTTGAGGATAGACATCATAAGCATGTTTAAGACTCCCACATGTAGTACAGAATTTCTGAAGCTTTTGATAATTAAATTCAAGGTCTACTGAATCCCCAGCTTCCAGAATATCAACATCACGAACTAAAGTTATTTCTTCATTAATATCAAAATCCACTCGAACCCATACCTCAGCCGGACGATTCTGCTGGATGAGTAGCTCCAGAATCTGAACTTCTTGAACCTGACCCAACATGGAACCAATACTCTGGACAATATGATTACGCCGATAAACTTCAGGGAGTTTAGTAATCTTGACCCGAAAGGAATACGCTGTAGAAAAGTGGGGAGTTGTCTGACGGCTCCATCTATCTAGCACAACCATCCATCCACGATAGGTATAAGGCGCATTCTCTAACACAACCATAAGATGATGCTCCTTCTTAAAGTAGAAACTGACAGATCCATCATCATTAATTTGCCCCTCAACTTTTCCAGTCAATCCCCAAGCTTTGGGCAAAGTAATCTTGATTCCAGCTGGATTCTTATGCTCCGTATTCACCCCTTTATAGCAACAAGACAAAGCCGATGATCTTTTTGAAACTCATCTTGCGCATCTTGATGAACTCTCCATTTCCCCTAGTTGGAACCAATCCTTAATCCTTGCAACGCTTGCCAGATCTCCTTCTGTGTTTCCATTGAGGAAGGATTTGCAAGATTCAGAGTGGAACGAAATCCCATATGCGTGTTTACTTATGTAATAGGCACATGGGAATTCGTTAATAATTTGTTGTTTACTTCAATACGTAAATTGCTAAGTATAGTTGTTTTAACAACTTTTAATTCCCATTCTATTTTTTTCCAATAGTAATTGCAAACAAACATATATAATGGACAATTAAGAATTTAAGAGTTATTTTAGGCACAAAATAGACACAAATGAATAACTCTTATAAATTTTTAACTTTTATATGCTTTTAACTAAATTCTTAATCTAACTGGCTAAATAGACGCATGCTATTTGTGCCCATACATAGTCACATTGGATCATTCATTTGTAATTTAGTTACGGGTTGGTTTTGAAAAACAACATATAATTAAATAAAATATATATTTGATAGAAAACGAACTCCATCGATCATAAATACACAAAAATAAATTTATTATAATATATTAATATTTTAAGAAATTTTTTTTAAAATATCATTTTTCAAAAATGCCATATTTTCAAAATATTTGTAAAAATGTCACTTTTTCAAAAAAAAAATTTCATTATACCATTTATGTTTGGGTTAACTATGTTGTATTAGAGTTTAATTTTGAGGGTTTTAGGGGTCAAAACATTTTTTAGGATTTAAAATTTTAAGATTTAGATTTTAAAAATTCATAATTAGTGGTATTTTTGCAAATGGACACCTCTAAATGACATTTTTGCAAATGTACACACAAAAAATAGTATTTTTGCAATTGCCCCATATTTCATAGCATTCCGTCAAAAAGATCATGATGTGGTCATATGTACTAAACAAGAACTAGACCGAATCATCATCATTCACTTGCTTTTCAACCCGGTTTCCATTTCCAAACAATTCGCAAAATGTTTTACATATGATTTTGAATTTGATGTTGAGGATTAATGCCCTTGATAACCGAGTCAACTACAACATCAATTGCTTTGGCGCATTCCATAGTTGACGATCCATTGTATATACCTATTATAGCTATGGGAACACTAAAAACAGGTTTTATAAGAATGAAATTGAGTGATTAAAATGATTATTTTCAAGTAAACTATGTTAGATCAATC